TCATGCCTCTCCAAAATCTGCGATCTTCTACAGCATGTATCAGTTCGTGTGCCGACACACCTCCATGCCATGCAACAAGACTGTCAAGCATCTTCTCTCGTTGTCTTCCTCTATCCCTCCTTCCACAGATCTTTCCAGTGGTCACAGCATATTCTATTTTCCCTCTTCTCATAACATGGCCGAAAAATGATGACTGTCTCCTTCTGATGTCTGTGATAAGTTGTCTTCGGGCTCCCGCCTCTTTCAAAACCTCTTGGTTGCTCTTTTTGGCTGTCCGAGAAATTCTAAGCATTCTTCTGTAAAACCACATCTCTGAGGCCCCAGGAAATCCAAAGTCTTTACCAACGGAAAAGTTAATACAACACAATCTATGGTGTATTTAGTGAAGGCTCTCCTCGACTTATCACCGGCTTTCGTTCCGACTAACAGGTCGTAAGTCGAACTGGTCGTAAGTCGAATTTATTTTTTCAATACTTTTTTCATTCAAGCGGATTTTCTTCTTCTTCTGCGTTCATCCGAAGGTGAAATTGCATTGTGTCCTTTACAGCATGGCAGCGATATTTGCACCTTTCGGCCGACACATCCGACTTCTGTAGGCTTTTGTTGACCGGGTTAGCCTTTCTGGATTCAGGGGGTTTAGTAATTCTACACAAAAGCCAAACATTCAATCCATTATTATTATTATTGTAGTAAAGTGAAAAATACATATGCTATCTTTTGATTCAGTTCCTGGCACCTACGAATATAGTTCCTTTTATTTGTTAACTTTTTTCGTTGGTCAGATATTTCCTCCAGGTGATGCCTGTGTGTTGGGAAATGAGCACCCAGATAGACTGTCTGGTTCTGGACCACTTGGTGGTGAACTGATGTATGACAGGTTAGATATTGTGAGGTCCTTTTGAGAGCGAGTGAACAGTGCAGAGGCGCTGATAGATCCTTACGGTCTAAGGAGAATGGCGCTGCGAGGAGTTACTAGGGGATCTGGCCGACGCTCAACACTCAGAGGAAGAATGAGACGGATATACAACCAGACAGTCACTGGGACTATTGGAACTGGAACTCCTCGCTTGTTACTGAAGATGGGGACGGAGCGCTTATGGGGGTGTCCAGAGTGCTGTGAAGTCGATTCTTAATTCAACATTCAAGATTTAACATTTAACATTTAACATTTAACATTCAACATTTAACATTCAACATTCAACATTCAACATTTAACATTTAACATTTAACATTTAACATTCAACATTTAACATTCAACATTCAACATTCAACATTCAACATTTAACATGTCCGATTTTTACAAAAATGACATTTGCTTCGTAGTTTACCCAGCCTAAAATGGCGCCTAATAAAGTTCTGGGAAGTAAAAGCGGTCAGCGCCGTGGTGACCACATTACCCACCAAGTTGCCTATTAATTTATGATACATAAGTCTAGCACTATGTGCCCAATATCCCTAATAGCAGGGAAACGAGTCCTTTAACTAAGTTAGTTGTGTATCTTTTACAGGACGCTGCAGAACCAACTACAGCATGTATTGATTGTTCTGGGTTTTCTAGGCAAATTTTATGTTAAGTAGTCTGCAATTGTCGGCTCTGTGGCTAAGTCGATGCGAACGCTTCGTAATACCGGGGTACCAGGTTCGATCCCAGCTGCGGGCCATACGCCTTGCTTTGGTTTCGACAGTGTTATCAGGGAGCCTACCGTCTAGGGAGCAATGGCAAACTACTGGAGGTAAATTTGCCTATTGAAACCACACAACAGCAAGGGGCTGATGGGGTTGGTTTTGCAATGTCCTGTACAGGATACGCAACTAACCAGTCTGCCATTACCCCTGAGCGGTCAGCTCTCAGTACCGCTGTCAAAACTAACGCAAGACAAATTGTCCGCAGCTGGGATCGAACCCGGTACCCTGGCATAACGATGCTTGTTCGCAACGTCTAAGCCACAGACGCCGACTATGACTTCAGACTTGGGCAGGTCCTATTCTAGAACCAGTTCTTCTCTGCCTGCCTTTTTTTGCTGAGGTAGACAGGATTGTGTCAACCGTTTGGTTGTCTTCTCATTCTCACCGTAGTGGTCTTCACCTTTTCAAAAATCGACCTCAGTTTTCACATGGACCCGGCCTAAATAGGAAATGTTCCGAAAGTAAAGACACTATTCAGCTGCACATCCTTTACGGCACGATGCAAAATCAACCCTAGAAGTAGTTTGCCATTGCTTTACGAACGCTTGGGTCTCGACCACACAATGGAAACCAACGCCAAGATTGTCTACTGCATAACAGTCCGCAGCTGGTATCGATCCCAGCACCTCAGATTTACCCTACACGTTCGCAAGCCCTAAGCCACAAACCCCCGACTGTGACTGCGACCACTGTAATAATAATCACAGTATCCGCTAAAGTGGCAGGATCAATGCAGCAATCACGCACAGAACAAGCAAGCACAAGTGTCGATAACTCGGATCCTAAGATCACCAAACATCGGAGAGTACCAATGACTGCCGCTTGAACATTCTTACTCTCCTCGCCAACTAACACCAGATGGTACAGTAATATAAGTCGTTACTCAACAACTGTTTACCAAACACTCCAGGCAGTTACTCTCCTACACAACCTGCTGCTAGCTCTCCACAAGTACCTAGATCTGAGAGTAATGGCAACAGATGCTCCCACCACAAGCCGACACGCCCACATCCCTGTACCCGCCTATATAAGGGAGACCACGGCAAGGGAGACACCCAGCCTTGCAAGTATCACCAGTGTCCAGTCTCCCAGACTTTACCGTTGTCCAGAAACCATGAACTCCGCACTCGTCGTCTGCTTCCTCTTCGGAATGGTCGCCATCCAGATGTCCGCCGCACTCCGTAAGTTTCCTCACTGGATCTTTCTCGTCACATTCTTTTACTAGACATTTCTCGTCACAATCTTTTACTGGACATTTCACGTCACATTATTGTACAGGACTTTTCTCGTCACATTCTATTACTGGACCTTTCTCATCACATTCTATTACTTGACATTTCTCGCCATATTCTATTACTGGACCTTTCTCGTCACATTCTATTACTAGACCTTTCTCGCCACATTCTATTACTGGACATTTCTCGCCACATTCTATTACTGGACCTTTCTCGTCACATTCTATTCCTTGACATTTCTCGTCACATTATATTACTGGACCTTTCTCGTCACATTTTATTACTGGACCTTTTTCGTCACATTCTATTACTAGACCTTTCTCGTCACATTCTATTACTGGACCTTTCTCGTCACATTCTATTACTGGACCTTTCTCGTCACATTCTATTACTAGACCTTTCTCGTCACATTCTATTACTGGACCTTTCTCGTCACATTCTATTACTGGACCTTTCTCGTCGTATTCTATTACTGGACCTTTCTCGTCACATTCTATTACTGGACCTTTCTCGTCACATTCTATTACTGGACCTTGCTCGTCACATTCTATTACTGGACCTTCCGCGTCATATTCTATTACTGGACCTTTCTCGTCACATTCTATTACTGGACCTTTCTCGTCACATTCTATTACCGGACCTCTCTCGTCACATTCTATTACTGGACCTTCCGCGTCATATTCTGTTACTGCACCTTTCTCGTCACATTCTGTTACTGGACCTTTCTCGTCACATTATATTACTGAACCTCTCGACAAAATCTATTACTAGACATCTGTCTTCACATTCTTCCACTGCACATTTTTTTTTTTTTTTTGCTACATTCCCTCACTGGACGTTTTCATTTAATTGTCTATTTTGTCATTGGATACCGAAAATGGACCATCGTCTCTGTATCAGTTAGACAGTCTGCTAATATATGTACACATTCGTTTTTTTTTCGCCTTTGTTTTTTCTTCGGCGTCTCTCCGATGGTGTAAGTGCGTTGTGCGCGTTTACAGCATGGTTGAAATATTTGTGCCTTTCGGCCGACACATCCAACTTCTGCAGGTAATGATTACTCGGTTTTGCCTTCCCGGGTACAAACATTTAACTTCTACTAGTGTCCATGTACCCGTGTTTTTCAATCAGCTTGGCGGGTTTCCTGTTTGTTTATCAACACATAATTCAACTTCCACCAGAGTTCTTGTCCCGACCTTTGTCTATCAGCCTGGCGGGCTGCCTGTATATGAACACATAATTCAACTTCTACCAGAGCCCAGGTACCAAACTTTGTCTATCAGCCTGGCAGGCTGCCTCTATATGAACACATAATTTAACTTTTACTAGAGACCATGTAGTGTACTTGCTTTTGTCTATCAGCATGGCGGGCTGCCTGTCTATAAACACATAATTCTATCAGAGCCTATACTGGCTAGACTCTTGTCTGCGGATCCGAAGGTCGAAGGTTCAAGTCTGACGGCGCTGGACTGTTTTAAAAATGACTTTGGTTCCCAGGTCTACCCAGCCTTTTCACGCCACTAACATAATGTTCTTTTCTACACCAATATTTGTTTACAGACTAAGCAGCATACTAGTAGGGGCTAAAGGGGAAGGGGGTTGGGAGAGAGAGAGAGAGAGAGAGAGAGAGAGAGAGAGAGTGTGAGAGAGAGAGAGAGAGTGAGAGAGAGAGAGAGGGAGAGAGGGAGAGAATGAATTAAAGTGCAAGAGACGACTGTGGTTAAGACAGATACGCATCACACCATTTTGGCAACAATTAAAAGGGATAGACAAAAGATAGAAGACCTTGGCTCTTATTTACAGATCTAACCATCTGGAAAGAGCCATCTGTTAGTTACCTAAGAGAGAAAGAGAGAAAGAATGAATTAAGTTGCGACAGACGACTGTAAATCTATGGTGTATGTTTAATGAATGTAATCTTTTTGTAATCAGTTATCTGCTCACCTTAACTAATCTGCGTGTCATGTTTTAAGAAGAATTAAATAATAAGTCTGTGAATTAAAAAAAAATTATGTGAATTAAATTATAAGTCTGTGAATCAAATTATAAGTGTGTTAACGTTTGCATTGGAACTGACAGACGTGTTTCTTGTTTGCAGCTGATAACTGTACTCTGGAGGCTGAACCAGGTTTTTGCTTTGGTAATTTTCCGCGTTATTTCTACAACATTGCCACTGCCCAATGTGAGCAGTTCATCTATGGTGGTTGTCAAGGCAACGGTAACAACTTCGAGCTACTTGAAGAGTGCCAGACTTTCTGTGTCTAACGTCTTCCAGATTTTTCACCATCTGCAAACCGGAATCAGGACTGCAAGACAAGTTTCTGCAATTACAAGTACCTACACTATGTGACGATATCAATCATTAGTCAACTCGGTTGCAATCGTGGAGAAATTGTTTGGTGAAATAAATAGTTACAGGTTTATGTGACTTTTCTTTGTGTCTTTGAAATCTGCCAGATTATGTGTGCCCCTGGAAGCAAAAGAGGGGGGGGGGTGATTTGCAGAGAGAGAGAGAGAGAGAGAGAGAGAGAGAGAGAGAGAGTGAGAGAGAGAGTGAGAGAGAGAGTGTGAGAGAGAGAGAGAGAGTGAGAGAGAGAGAGAGGGAGAGAGGGAGAGAATGAATTAAAGTGCAAGAGACGACTGTGGTTAAGACAGATACGCATCACACCATTTTGGCAACAATTAAAAGGGATAGACAAAAGATAGAAGACCTTGGCTCTTATTTACAGATCTAACCATCTGGAAAGAGCCATCTGTTAGTTACCTATATGCAATGATCTTCCTAGTTCAACAACTAAGGAATTAAGAATTTGAGAAACACCAGTCCAGGGTTAGTGTTATGTAACAAAATAACGTACAAATCAAACGACAAAGTGACGCAGTCAGGTTAACAAGAACAATCAATAAATGTGCCCAAGAGCACAACATTCCTGCCTCTACTTCATACACTAGTTGTTGACCATGCTTCCAGGAACTTCTCTGGGTTGCTCCATTTATTGTTACGGGTGATGACCTAGTTGTCTATGATGATATCGGTACGGCACCTTATGGTAATGCCGGATAAATAGTCAGTAAATTGCCGACCATGCTTCCAGGAGTCCTCTGAAAGTACTGGAGAGTTTTGGGAAATGCCATTCTGGTCTCAGGACTCGGTGAAGGGAAAACCCCAACTGCACCTCCACGCGGTAGAGGACGGTAAACACACTGCGGTGTGGCCAACGCAGCTATGGGGACAGAGTATCCACTGGGATAAGTGGACACCTCTGGGGTGCCCTCTGCTGTTAGCAGGAGCATCACAGAGCAGGGCACTCACTTGCCCTAGCAATCGAAAAGGTTGCTGAAGGCTGAGGACATGGTCTTAAGCCGTGTGGATGTGGAAAGCAACGGGAAACTACCACATTACTATCCCAAGAAACTCATCATGCAAGCCAAAACTTTTATGACAGTTTAGAAGAGACGTTAGAAAGGGTAGAAAAAAAAAGAGATATTATAATCATCGTGGGAGATTTTAATGCAAAAATTGGCGGAGGTAGAATAGAGGAAGAGGAAATAGTCAGAGGCCCATTCGGCATAGGAGACAGAAAGGAGAGTGGGGAGAGACTGAATTATGTTAGAAAAGAACATGTGTATTACCAACATGTTATAGGTATTTCGTCCTTTTCAGGACGAAATTTTTTGTTATTTGAAGCCCCACCCTGGCTTTTGCCAGGGGCCGCAATATAGGCAGGCCATAAATATGGCCAATTGTCTGAACGCGGTTTCTGGGACCTCTCCGCGGCGATCCTCATCTGCATGGTGGCACTTTTGTGTCATCAGGTGTTTATCGCTTGTGTGATGTCCTAGTGGGGTAAAAAGTCAGTCAGTCAGTCTGTATTACCAACACACTATTTCAACAACACCCAAGAAGGCTCTACACCTGGATTTCACCAGATGGAAATAGCAGGAACCAAACTGATTATATTTTAATATAACTAAAATGGAGGACATTTATAACATCTGCAAAGACACTCCCTGGAGCTGACTGTGACACAGATCACAAACTTCTTGTTGGAGAGTTTAAAATAAAACTGAAAAAAAAAAATGTTGAAAGGGGCTAAGCCAATACGTTTTGATTTGAGTAATTTGCCAAATGATTAGAGCATTGAGGTTGAAAACAAATTTGAGGCGCTAATGGCAGTGCAGGAGGATAAGACACCTGATGAGTTGGCTGATGAAACAAGAAACATCATCATCACGACAGCTCAGAACATTCTCCAGCTCTCTTCTCTCTGTGTTTTTGGTCTTCCTTTATTCCTATGCCCCTGTAGATTCCAATGCAAAGACATTCTAGTTATGCTGTTCTCCTGTTTTCTCAGTGTTTGTCCTATCCAAAGCCAGCGTCTTTTCCTCACCTCTTGGTCCACTGGAGCCTGTTTAGTTCTCTCCCAAAGTTCTACATTAGTTATTCTATCATACCATTTAATTCCCTCTGTTCTGCACAGACACCAGTTAATGAATGTCTGTAATTTATTAGGAATTGCCTTGATTGTTCTCCATGTTTCCGCCCCATACAATAGTACTGATTTGACATTAGAATTAAAAATTTTTAGTTTAGTATTTCTTTTAATTTCTTTTGACCTCCACAAATTCCCTAGAGCTATAAAAGCCCCTCTTGCCTTTTGTATTCTTATTTTAATATCTCTATCAGTTCCTCCATCTTTATCTACATTACTGCCTAAATAGGTGTACGACTCTATGTCTTAGAGTGGGGTGCCATTAAGAGAAACCACATTACTATTTGCCTGATTTATTCTCATTATCTTTGTCTTTCCTTTATGGATTTTTAGACCAAGCTGCTGTGATCTCGCATCAAGTATATTTAATTTATCTTGCATCTGATTCCGTGAATGGGACAGAAGAGCAATATCATCAGCGAAGTCCAGATCATCAAGCTGTTTTGTAGGGGTCTACTGAATTCCATTCTTGGTGTTAGCAGTTACTGTTTTCATAGTCCAGTCTATAGCCAGTAAAAAAAAAAGAGAGGCGACAAAAGACATCCCTGTCGCACACCCGTTTTTATTTCAAATGTTAGCTTTCCCTCATGAAGAACTCGACATTTCATGTCTTCATATGTTGCCTTTACTAAGTAGATAATTTTCTGTGGGATTCCATAGTGCCCCATCAATTTCCAGATAGATTCCCTATCAATGCTGTCAAATGAATATAGGAACTACACGGAAGAAATCAGAAGATCTATCAAAGGAAAAAATAGTTTATTATAAATACCTGAAATAGAATTGAACAACTCCAGATGCAGGGAAGAGACAGAGACATGTTTAAAGAAATTAAAACATTGAAATGCGAATTCAGGCCTTCTTTGTCTGTAATAAGTGATAAAAACGGTTACACATTAACGGAAACCAAAGACATATTAGAAAGATGGAAAGAATTCTGTAGAGAAATGTATGAGGATGCGACAAGTAATTCATTGTGAAAGTTATGAAAAAGAGCAAGAGCCTTTACTGGATGAGGTACGATCAGACACAGCCTGAAGAAAGGAAAGTCACCAGGTTGCGACGAAATACCAGCAGAACTAATTCAAACAGGAGGAGAGGCCAGCGTCCGAATCTACCATGCACTGTGCTCGAAGATCTGGAACAGTGGCATGGTCACTACCCATGAACTTCCCTGTGAAATTTGCCACTTAGCTCGAAGCATCCCTGTCTTCACTTTTCTCAGCATGCTTTCAGAGTCCGCTACAATTATAACATGTGTATGTATCGTGTTCTCTAGTCACTGGAGATCTGCAGTTACCGCCTCCACCTCCATTCTCATGCTAGATGTTGTGGGGTCGTAATCCAGGCTGTCTTGCACTAAAGATTTTCCACTGGCTTTCGATGCGAACCTCTAGGTATATCTCTTTCCTCTCAACACTAAACCATCTGTATAGATAATCAGATCACCTGGGCGTGTATTGTCGTGAATCAACTGTTGGACCTTCATCTCCGTAACACCCGCTGGCCACTCTCTGCACTCTGGCCCAATGTGACAGTGACCCTACATAGGTTAGACCTTACCTCTGGTACTCTGACCCACTCCTCTCCTTGCCCAGTGTTCAGCATGCATACTTGTCTTATTTTGACTTCTGATTAAGCCATCAATGATTTTACTTTTTTCAGCCAAAGCTTCAGACAGAGGATACTCTTTATGACTGCAGCTACTCTCAGGTATGACTCTTTAGCCTATCTGCAATAGTCGGCAATGCAAGGATGTATCGCATGCACACAATCGAGGTGTCTCTTGTACATCCCAGGATCACCCTCATAGCTTCATTTTGTATGCGCTCCAGTTTCTCTAGCTGACTCTTCGAGACATTAACCCCAGTTCATAATCGGTCACTGAGATGATTAAGTGCTGGTATAGTGTGAACAGCATTCTCTGATCCATGTCCATTGCTGCCATAATCGTTAGCGCATTAAGACCTTTTTGGACCTTTGTCATGACTGCCTCTTTCTAAAACTTGAAAGACAAATTTCTGTTAAACGTGATTCCAAGGTGATGTCCCTGTCATTTATTTGAGGCTTAGAACATCAGCTCTAACAATCCTGCATCTATCATGTCCCTCATTTGGGAGTTTTTAACCCCGTCAGACTCGTGTGAAGTGTCTTTCACCCTTTTCAGAACTTGTTTTAAATCTTCCGCCTGTCTGATGTCTTCATAATGTTTGTTCTTAATGGTGGCTGCCATATCTTCTCTAACTGTATCTCTGTTATCTTCATCATTGTGGTCTTTCTGTGAAATGAACCTCTTCAGAAAAGCCTCTCCCTTCTGTTTGTCTGCATCTCTTGTTCCTATTACTCTGGACCGATCTTTTCTTGAGCATCTGCCTATGTAGCTTCCAAAACTTTTTAAGTGTCTTATCTCTCTCAGTCTCATCCAAAAAATGCTCCCACTTTATTTTTTTGTGGCCTCTGCTGCTCAGCGCTTGAAAAACTGTATCTTTCTGTTCTCGTTCTGCACACTCTTATTCTTCCTGTGAGGTTAGGGACATCTTTAAAAGCCTTACTGCAGCTCTCTTTAACTTCACTGCATGCTCTACCTCTGATTTCCACCACGTAGGCTGCATAAAAGTAGATCTGCCGGTCCTCTTACATACCCTCTGTCTGAGGCGTCAAAGAAGGGTGTTCGTCAGCTCATTTTTGAAAGAGCTACAAGCTCTTAAAACCTTGACTTTACTGGATTTGAAGAACAAAACCGAACATAGCAGATGAACACTTACT